CGCGTGCCTGGAGCTCCGGGGCTGGCTGCTGCCGGTCCCACCGGTGCTCCCTGTGAGGGGGGCTCAGTGTGTCCCGCCACGGAACGCTACCGGTCACAGCCGTGTCTCGAATCCCCCGGTACAAACACAAAGACAAAAGATTTGCGTTTTGGGGAGAAACGTCTATATTTGTTTGCTATGAAATTTGGTTTTTAATAGTGATTTAGAGAAGAAAACGTTTACATTGAACGCGCTGCATAAGCCAAGCAGGGATAATTTATAAATCCCCTGCGTACTGCGGAGCTCTAACTCAGAATTTGCAGCTCGATCCCACCAGTCTCCTCACTGCTCAGCCGAAACACGGGAGAGCGCAGACTGACAGGTAAAACGACGATCAGTCTGCAGCAGGGAGCGAGGAAGGAGGCATCCCGGTGTCTGAACGACGCGACTAAGTTTCCGAACACGAGCGACAGCGCTCTGGCACTGATGTTTTTGATTCACGCCACCACCCGTTACTTAGAATTTTCTCTTCATTTTAGCCTTCACGTCAGAGTAAATGCTAATCTCGCTCTCAATCCAGTACGCCGTGTAGCCCGAGGTGCCGGGAATGAAGTCGCGGAGCTCCCCGAGGTACTTCTTCATATTGCGAGAGGAGGTGTAGCCTGCCAGGGGAAAGCGTTGGGGACTGTAGCATCTCTCCTACGAGGAGAGGCTGAGGGAACTGGGCTTGTTCAGCCTGGAGGAGAGAAGGCTGAGAGGGGACCTTAGAAATGCCTTTCAATATCTGCAGGGTGGGTGTCAAGGGGACGGGGCCAGACTCTTTTCAGTGGTGCCCAGCGACAGGACAAGGGGCAACAGGCACAAACTGAAGCAGAGGAAGCTCCAGCTGAAGATGAGGAAGAACTTCTTCACTCTGAGGGTGACGGAACCCTGGCACAGGCTGCCCAGGGAGGTTGTGGAGTCTCCTTCTCACCTGGACGTGGTGCTGTGCAGCCTGCTCTGGGTGACCCTTCTTCAGCAGGGGTTGGGCTGGGTGACCCACAGAGGTCCCTTCCATCCCCTAACATTCTGTGATTCTGTGTAACCCTGAGCCCTGCTTCTCCCACAAGGCGAAGCAGGGAGCGATTCCGGTTGCACCCGCGGCGTTCCCACTGCGGTCAGTACTGGGAGGGAGCAAGGAACGCACAGGGGGGGTCCCTGCTTCATCCTCAGCCGTTTTAATGCTTATTTTCCACCCCTTAAAAATCTACTGACGCAAACGTTACCTGTTATCATGTTATTCATCGGGTATTCGTGGAGGGCACGGTATGGGAGTTCCCCCTGGGTGGGAGCTCTGGAGCCCGTTTCTTCTTCGCTGCTGTATCTGGTAAGGAAAAACCTGTGCGTTGTTCCCTATGCACTGGGCATCTCTTGAAATCTGGGGGGGGGGAAAGTCCCACCAAGGGCAGGAAAACACCTTTCGGCCAGGTCTAGCATATCTTCCTCCACTTCTTCCTCACGGCCTTCTCTCACTGCCTCCGGTTCTTCTGTCGGGCTTTTGGGGGACTGCGAGTATCAATGCAGAGTTGAGTTAAAATTGTGCCCTGCGTACCCCGCAAAACACCATGGAGACACGGTCCGAGAGAGCAGTAGCTTGAGGACTTGTGATTTCAAGCACAATTTAGAATAAAATTTTAAATCTAATCACGTTTCTGCTTCGAAAGTACTGAGAAGTTACTTTGAGAAGCGAGCGGGCAGTGTCTCGGAGCTGCACGGGGAAGGAAACTGCCACGCGGAAGGGCTGAGCTCGGGCCTGGGCCATCGGCACCCGCGGAAGGACGTGCCCGGGAGACTGGGTGTCTGTCTGGGGGAGGGAGAAACCCCCCCCCCCAGTGCTGTCCCCCTGGGATGTCACACTGGGAGGGACGCGCAGAGCCGCACGCACAGGAATATTTGAGCTCGTATTCGTGTTGAGGGTCTGGGATGAAAACCAGGCTCCCCAAAGTTCATACAACCGGTATTTCTTTAAGCTACACCTCCTGTAGTATAGATTTCTCATCTCACCTGTTCTGCAAGTGAATCATCTGCCTGCTCCCAGATAAAACTACCGATTTTCCTTCTGATTTCTGCCATCAACAAAAAAAATAAGCGACTGTGAGAGCATCAAATAACGAGACTGTGTGGCCGTCGCTGCCTGTGCAGGGCCCTGCCCCTCGCAGGTGCTAGCAAAGGCACTCAGCAGCCCCGGCAGGAGCTCACCGCACCGCGCTGCTCACTAATGCAATATAAAAGATGGAGCATTAATTCCTCTGCCCCCGGGAGGAAGAATCGCTCCCAGCATAAGGAAACTCCCTCCACCTAGAGCAGAAGTAACTGGAGGTTCTGGTTTGCAGCCCCAAAAGGCTCCGCTCACAGGGGAACCCTCCGGGGAGCCAAACCATGATGGGTTTTTTTTTTTCCCCTGACCTTCTTGCAGGCAGGCGGGTGGCAGGACGAAGTGGCCCAGAACGACGGGCGGCTTCGCTCCCGCACTGGTGCTGGCCCACGCAGAGAGGCAATGGGAGTGAAAGACAGTAGCTCTGCCCTCCAGGTAATCGAGGCTCTCGTGTATTCTGGAAGAGAAAAAGACAGCTGGTTTCCAAAGGTAAACCTGAAAAGAAAAATTTTAGAGGGATATTGTCATTAAATCCGACCTACTCTGCTATTTTTGCCAAAAGCACCTAATTTTCTGTAGTTTTCTAACTGTGAGACTCTACCAGCAACGTCCTGTTACGGTCCCGGCTGCCGACACCTCCTGAGAGCAGCCTGGAGGACGGACACTGGGGACCAGGTAAACGCATGTTTTTAGGGACTAAATGGCACCATTCTGCACTCTGCTCTCAAGATGAGACTGGTTCTTTGGGGAGGGGGGTTAATGTGACATTTATTTATTTATTCTTAACCCCACTGGTCCCTGCTTAGGCTCACGGCTCGGTCCCCAAACAGTGTCGGCACTGCAGCTGGGTAAGGAAGGGTGGGTGGAGGATGCTCAAGCACTCACCGTCCTCCTTAGAGGGGAATTAAATACTGTTTGCTGGGTTTAAGGGTATGGATAATGATTACGTTTCTCCCAATAAATAATCTGAATATATACATTGAATATTTATATATAATTGTATATAATTCGCCCTGTGGGAACAACCCAGTCTGGCGGGATGCTGTGCCGGAAGGAAGGTCGTCACTCCAGGTTTCTCGGGATTCCCCTCTCGAAGCTGGCGTGGGTGGCTGAAGGATTACAAAAACCTAAGATGGTTTTAAGCAGTCCTGTGTTAAAAGAAGCTGCTTAGTCCAGCCTAGCAAAGCCTGCTGCAGAGCGCTGCAAGAAAACATTGCCCTTTCATGTAAATCTATTTACATGATATTGCATAAATAGTCACTCGCTGGAGGAAGACCCCGAACAGCCTTTCCTGACTTTTGTGAGCTCTGTTTTTGTATGTTAAGCAAGCAGAAGGAAAATAGCAGTTCAGCCCTTTTCCAGCCATTTTTACCCTCACTCTTGCTTTCAGGGTTAACTCGTGCTGGGTTTTTTGCGCCTGGTTCCTTGGGGATGGTGTCACCTCTGTTTCAGTTTCTCAGTACATCAATTCAAAGGTAGCAAGAAAACCAGTGCAATTAGTTTAGTTTACATCGGAGTTAAGCCAGCCTAACACGTGGACGACTTTTGCCGCTGTTTGCTGTCTCGTCTAGCTGCGGTTTAGCGTGGGTGGGAGTTTTCAGCCCCAAGTAAGCAGTAAAACCCCAGCAGACCTGCACCAGGCACTTTACAAACACCACCCTGACGTTTTCAGGCTGTCGGCATCCATTGAATACTTCACTTGCAATGCATTAAGGCTGCTGTCTATGCTTTCGCTTGTCTTTCGCTCTCTACATCCAACCATCCGTGCAACCAGGACCCTCCAGCGCGCTGCGATTGCATGGCAGACGCGGCACGGAGAGGGCTTGACGTGAGCGTGCAAGGGGCCGCAGGCATTT